GGCGGGGGCCGCGCGGTGCTGCAACACCCGACGGCGCTCGCTCGCCGGCGTCTCCGTGGCGCGCGTCTGGCCACGGCCGCTGCCGCAAGCCGCGGGTGCCGCGCAAACCCGCTGTACCGCCACACGCCCGGGACTGACGCGTCACCCCTAGCGCCGCGGCCCTCGCCTGCGCGGCCGTGCCGCGCCAATCAAGGCGCCATCGCGCCGTCCCACCTGGCAGCTGAAAGGACTTGCCCGTGCCGCCCAGCCCCGGCTCGCAGTAGCTGCCGACGAAGCGGTCGAGCGCGTAGCAGTAGCAGTTTGACTTTATCAGCACGTCGCACGCGTGCTCCTCCTCGTAGCTGTAGCTGCCGTCCTTCTCCACCTGGTACCTGCACGGCAGCTTCATGCCGGCTGCTATGGCCGCCATGCTGTACGTCTCAAGGGGCCCGAAGCACGCCTCCCATGGGCGTTCATACATGCGGACTGCTTTCGAGGTCTCGAGGGGGAAGAGGAAGTCAACGCCGTTGTCGAGCCCGTTTGTGAAGAGGCTCGCCGGGATGCCCTGCGCGCTGTACTTGCACGCCTGGTTGTACCGCCAGGGGTCGTACCGGTTGCCCGCCGCCGCCGCGCCCGCCTCCTCCGCGCCCTTGGCGGCGGCCGCGGGGCGCGCGGGCGCGACGGCGGCCGCGGCGGCGAGCAGCAGGAGCGGCCAGGCGGCGGCCTGCGTGGGCCAGCCGCGGGAGCTGCGGCCGGAGCTGCGGCGGGAGCTGGGGCTACCGTCCGTCATGCTGGCGCTGCGGCTAGCTGTCCCGCTTTTGTTTTCCCTGTAGCGAGCCGGTTGGGGGCTGCAGCCCCGGCCACGCGCCGCAAACAGCGTCCCAGCTTCCGCTGATGACAGAGTGCCTGGCTGCGTCAGTGGCTGTTGTGGCTGGTCCTGTTTGACTGCGCGTGTGTGCGGCGGCTCCGATCTGCGGGACAGCCGACAAGGGTCAACTGGATGCTTGTAGGCGGGCGTCCTTGCAACCCGCAAGTCGATCGAGGTGTGCAGATTGTTGCGGGGCCACGTTGCAGGTTGCCGCAACGACAGCGTTGCTTTGTAATACTGCCGGGAACGTCTCTGAGCATAAGAAGCTGGAATATTGTTAGGATACTGGCGGAGTTTTGAGCACCGTGGCACGGTATCAACAGCGTTCCTGATTAGGGCGACCCCACCAGGCTGCAAAGACGTGTATCGAGTAATAGATCAGCAAAGTGGCAAACAAACAAAACAGTCCTGTCGGAACACTGTTGGGTCCGGGCCGTGTTCAACGCTCCCTCCCAACGATACGCGCGGAAGCTGCCTTGCGTCCTGGGCGCCGATTCGCGCGTTCTTGTTGGTGCATATGATGTGCGCACGTGACACGAAATTACTTACAGGTCTGTTTGAAACACTCTTCTCGCGCTCTGTCGCAACGACGCCCACCAGCGAGACAATCGCCCGGGGACGTTTTTCTCACTTGCGGCGCAGCTCTGCGCCGCCGGTCGCGTCGGCGCTCGAATGCGACGCCAAGCAGCAGCAGCAGCCGCCCGCGCAGCATCTGCGCCTGGCCGCTCCCTCCCACCTGCCGCCCACCGGCCGGCGGCCTTGCGTGCCCCTATGTCTGCGGCGGCCGCGCCCACAGATCACCCCGCCAAAGCCCACACGGCCGCGGTCTGCATCGCGCCGCCCTACGCCTGCTGGGCCCCGATCCAGGACGCGCGCTGCTTCTCCGACAAGTCATTCGTGCGGTGGATGCCGCACATAAACCTGCTATACCCCTTCTTAAGCGACGAGGGCGACGCGTTTGAGCGCGCCGCCGCGGCCGCGGCGCGCGCGCTCAGCGGGCTGCAGCCGTTTCAGGTGCGGGGCCGAGGGCAAGGGCACCAGTGACTGGCCGGCTTGAAGGCGTGACTCGTGGTCGCGCCGGCGCCTCGCCAGCTCTCGAGGGCCGTGCGGCCGCGCTCGCATGCGACAGCCATGCACACACATGCGAGACGGGTGCGCCCAGGAAGCCCCACACCCCCTCTTTCACCAACTCCCCGCCCGGCCCGCGCAGCTGCGCCTGGACGAGTTTGGGAAGTTCGACCACCGCAGCAGCAGCACCGTCTGGCTGGACGGCCGCCACCCAGGCGCGCCCCCTCCCCGCCACCGCCCCCGCCCCCGCGCGCCCGCCCTGCCCCTGTCTGCTAGAGCCTGCCGGGGCCGGCCCGAGCGCCCGCTGCCTGCTGATAGGGGCTGACAAACACCAATCATAAGGATCAGCTGTGCGCATACGGCCCACCTTGGTACCGGGCGTGAGCCGTCTGCCTCCACTTTTTGAGCCCTAATCCCATTTTTCAGCAGACCCCAACGAGAGCGGCTTGCCCGCAGCCTTACTTGCCTTCTGCATCGTTATGACGCCCCCAGGGGTCATACAGGTGCAGGCCGCGCTGCAGGGCGCATTCCCCGCCTGCGACGACCTGTCCAGCGACCCGGCGCGCGGCATAACGGCCTTCAGCCCGCACCTGTCGCTGGGGCAGTGGCGGGGCGCGGCGGCGGCGGAGGCGGCGGCGGGGCGGGTGGGTGCGTACGCGCGCGTGTGCGACGGGCGGACCGCTCGCGGTCTGTGGGGCTTTGACGGTTCCTTCTAATTACAGGCATGTGTTGCAAACTTTACTGCATTTTTTTAGTGCATGGGGCATGCTTTTGTTGCATGCGCTCTCGCTCATACAATTTCTTTGACCAGCCACCTGGTTCCCACGCGCTGACCGCATCGAGGGCTCATGCGCAACGCACCTTGACTGTGTTACTGCCATAGCTGCTGCCCACATGCGCATCCCCGCCGCACACGCAGCTGGCTGCGGCCTGGCCCGCAGGCGGGGTCTCCTTCACGGTGGACGAGGTCTTCCTGATATCGCGCCGCGGCTTCGACAGCCCCTTCGCCTTCCGCTGGGCCGTGCCGCTGGGCGGCGCGGGGCCGCAGCGGCGGGTGGATGCGCCGTACGTCGCGAGCATGGGCAGGGCGCCGCCGGCGCTGCTGGAGGCAGGCGGCGACGGGTGCGCCGGCCGGCAGTGCAGGCGGGAGGGGGAGGGCGCGGGGAAGATAGATGGATTGATAAGTTACTCATGCCATAGCATCACTGCCATCGGCCCCGCGCTCATCAGAGCGGACCTCCTCATTCGCGGGGAAGGCGCGCTTCGGCGGGGCCGGCGCGCCTCTGGCGCGATGGAAGGGGCCTCTAGGCCCGCGCCCGGCTCGCCTGCGGCTGCTGAGTGATACACCTTGAAAGTGCGACTTTCCTGTGGCTGCTGAGCGACACACCAACCCCAACAATTGCACAACCCGTGCCACCTGGACACCCAGCCCTTCGTTTGAATTTCGAGCCGCTGATCGCCTTTGCTACGCAACCGTCCTGAAACCCCTGCTGCCCCCGCCCGGCCGCAACGCTGGCCGCAGGCTGCGCAAATTCGGCCTCGGCGCGTCCGCGGCGGGCGCCGTCTGGACCTTCGCCTTCGGCGCCAACATGGCCCCCTCAAAGCTCGCCGCCCGCCGCGCCGCGCCGCTCGAGAGCCGCCCCGCGCGGTTGCGCGCCCGGCGGCTCGTGTTCGACCACCGCGGCGGGTTCGGCAACCTGGTTCCCCCCGACGACCCCGCGGCGGCGGCGCTGGTGGCGGCGGCGGCGGGCTCGGCGGCGCCGGGCGACGTGCACGGCGTGCTGCATCGGCTGGCGCCGGAGGGTTTTGCCGCGCTGTGCAATGCGGAGCACGAGTACTGGCCGCTTGAGGAGGAGGTGGGCGGCTGGCTGGCAGGGGTGTCGTGCATGCGCGCATGCGGGGCGCCGTCGCAGGGGTTCGGGGCCGCGCGCGGGGAGGGCGCCTTGCTTGCTGATGAGATTTGAGGCGTCACAGCCGCTTTGGCAGCGAGCACCCGTCCTGGTCTGATTTGCGGTCGCTGATTTCGGGCCGCGGACGCCCGGGCGCCGCCGCCGCAGGCCCTGCCCTACGACGGAGGCCCCCCCATCCCCTGCGTCGCCTTCGTCACCCCGCCCGCGCGCCGCTGCGCCCCCGGCCTGCCGCCGCCGGCCCGCTACCTGCGCCTGCTGCTGGAGGGCGCGGCGCACTGGGGGCTCGACGCGGCCTACCAAGACTGGCTGCGGGGGCTGCCCACAGTGGTGGCGGACGAGAGGGGGCGGGAATACTACACCTCGCCCTCTGGCGCCGCCCTCGAGGCGTGGCCGAAGATCCGGGCGGGGAGCAGCACAGGCGGCGGGCGGGGCCGGGGGCGCGGCGGCGGCGGCGGGCGCTGGGAGGGGGGCAGGCGGAGAGGGGGCCCCCGGGGGGCTGACGCGCCTTGGAGGCGCCCGCAGTAACCAGCCGCCGGCCAGCTACCTGGTCACCCGTACTGCCCGCGTGCAGCTGCTGGTGTGCTCCACAAATTTCGGGGTCAATGCAGGTTTCAAAGTGTCGATTGTGGTGTCCCACAATGCGCGAAGCACACGTGCATGCAGCATACAGTATGCAGCATGCAGTTTGCAGCTTGCATGCAAGCCGTCCCGCGAAATCGGATCGATCGGTGCTGCTCATGCTGCTTCAAAGGCTGCGCGCGCCCTCACGGAATGCGCCAACAGGTCGTGAACGCCGCCAGGCGCTGTACGTCCCACCAACGGGGCCGGCGCGACCAGCGGGGTCGGCGCCTGCAACGCGCAAGGATTTCTACACCGCCGCTGCAATCCACCCCACCAAAGCCGCGCGAGGCGCAAAACCGCGCGCCGCCGCCGCCGCCGCTCGCGCCTCGCAGCCCGCCGGCCCGCCGGGGCGGGAGGCGCAGAACAAGAAAGAATAACAAGGCCGGCGTCACATCATCCTGCAGCAGGAGTTTGTCTTGCGGGCCTGCTTGTAGAACATCTGGCTGGCCATGCTGAGGTCAGCGCTCTTGTCCACCAGGCTGTCCAGCTTCTCGCCGCGCTTCAGGACGCTGTCGATCGTCTGGTGCAGCACGATCTGCGAATTTGCGCGGCGGCAGCGGCGGGCGGCGCGGCGGCATGCTGTATATCTGCTGCTGAGCGCGCGCCGAGCCGTGGTGCGGCCTCCCCCTGCCACCCAACAGACGCCACCGCTGCAGCCGCCGTGAGCGCACACGCGAGCGGCGGC